GACCCTCCGACAGTGCCCACTCCCTCAGCACTGACCCTCCGACAGTATGTCGCTCCCTCAGCACTGACCCTCCGACAGTGCGGCGCTCCCTCAGCACTGACCCTCCGACAGTGCGGCGCTCCCTCAGCACTGACCCTCCGACAGTGCGGCGCTCCCTCAGCACTGACACTCCGACAGTGCCCACTCCCTCAGCACTGACCCTCCATCAGTTCGGCGCTCCCTCAGCGCTGGTGCTTCAAGTGTCAGGCTGGATTTTGTGCTCGAGAGTCTGGGAGTGGGAGGTGAACCCTGGACCTTCTGACTCAGAGGTCAGTGCATTACGCACTGAGATGGAGCAAATACCCAGCCACGTTAATCTGACAACAGATTCCGTTTATGAGAGCTCACTGCCACCTCAGAGACTCACATTTGCTGAATAAACAAATCTCAACATTTGAATTCAGTGACCCACCCACCCCTGTGTGGCCTCCCATCTTTCAGCATGTCTGCCTAGTATTTTTCCCTCGTGTTTTTCTCGCTTTCCTTTTTAATTACATCGATACCCCTTCGCCTCAACTCCTCCCTCTGGTTCGTGTTGACAGTGTCCCAGCCTTTTAAACTGGAGCGTTTACGAAGCTGCTCCACATCCTCGCTGGGCCTGCAGGACAGCACAATCCCTCCTCGATTCACTGTGTCTCGTTGTTTAAATTAAACCAGGCTACCGCCATCAGCAATCGCACCAGCCTGCTCAAGCTCCAGATGCTTGTCCTCAAAGCACAGAGGCCTGTCCTTAAGGCCAAGAGACCTGCCCAAGACCCAGAGGCCTGCCCAAGGCCCAGAGACCTGCCCAAGACCCAGAGACCTGCCCAAGGCACAGAAACCTGCCCAAGGCCCAGAGGCCTGCCCAAGGCCCATAAGCCTGCCCAAGGCCCAGAAGCCTGCTGTCTCCCTCTCTCACAGACACATATTAAACCAGAAAATGCACTGAGGAAACGCAAAACAGTGAAATAAAAATAATAAATTGATAACTCCCAGCAAGAGGCCATTGAGTTGCTGGCCCAGGCCCAGGCCCAGGCCTGGTGGGGTTGGGGGGGGTTGCAGTTCTGGGATATGGGGAGGTGTCCACTCCAGTGATCGGTTGACCCAGGTCTCAATCACAGTCCCCTCTGGACCAATTATCCTGATGGCAGGCTGTGGTGAGGACGTGTTGGTTCAGGGGCTGGATTGTAAATCGATCAGGAGGAGGGGAACACGATGTACAAAGATTGTTTATTTACCGCTGGTTTCTCCCTGACCCCCTGTACCCAGGCAGCTCTCGCTCTCTTCCCACTCGGGTTAACCCTCTAAGCATCAGCCCCTCCTCCTTCAAGAGTCAGCTTCCAAACAAGAGCCCAGCAAACAATTCCCTCAGGCTATTCAGGCACAGAAGGCATCGCAGACAGGGCCTATTCTCTGCTTGTCTGGTCGCTGCGCGAGTACGTGACTCTGTTTATATAAAACACATGTTGGAATGCAACATTTGACAAGCTCTGTTTGAAAAAATCATCCAAAAGTCTAACAGGCCAAAGTCAGAGAGAGGAAGGGAGCCTACACCACTTTCACCCTCATGACAGGGGTTCATGCATTTTAAAACAAATTTTTTCTCAGATGATATGGGTGCTACTGACTGGGCCGGCCTTTATATACCTGTCCCTAATTTCCCTGGTGAAGGTCAAGGTGACAGTGACCCTGGACCCTGTGATACAACGGAGCATCTCACCCGGCCTCCTCAGAGGGCAGTTCAGGGTTAACCACGTTGCCATGGGCCTGGAGTCACATGTGGGCCCAGAAAGCAGCAGTTTTCCCTCCTGTGTTGATATGACAAGGTGAGGATTAGTAAGACTTCAAGAGATTCACACCTATTACTGAGGCTATCATTACTGATGTACAAAATTACGATTCAGGAGCAGGGAGAAGCCATTCAGCCCTTCAAGCCTGCTCCACCGTTCAATAGGATGGCGTTTGTGCCCCAAATTCCCATCCACTCCCCACAACCTCCGATCCCCTGCCTCACAAGAATCTATCTATCTGTCTATCTCCGTCCTAACAATATTCAATGTCCCACTTCCATCAGCAACAAGTTCCTGACTCACACAACCCTCCCAGAGAGAGAGAGAGAACAAATCCCTCCCGTCCCTCACCTGAAAGCGTGGCCTCTCATTCCAAAATGACGGGCCCTGGGTTCTGGGCCGACCCACAAGAGGAAACATCTTTTCCACGTTCCCCTTGACCAGACCATTCAGGGTAACATACGCTTCAGTCAAGTCACCCCCTCACTCCTCTAAACTCCATCGGAATTAAGCCCAGTCTGTCCAACCTTTCCTCATCAAACAACCCACTCATAGAATCCCTACTGTGCTGTGGAAGCAGGCCATTCAGCCCATCAAATCTATACTGATCTGCCAAAGAGTATCCCACCCAGACACACTCTCTCTGTATTTTCCATGGCTAACTCACCCAGCCTGCACAGCCCTGGACACTATGGGGCAATTTAGCACAGCCAATCCACCCTAACCTGCACATCCCTGGGCACTATGGGTAATTTAGTATGGCCAATCTACCCTAACCTACACACCTCTGGATTGTGGGAGGAAACCAGAGCACCCGGAGGAAACCCACACAGACACGGGGAGAATGTGCAAACTCCACACAGATAGTTGCCCGAGGGTGGAATTGAACCCAGGTCCCTGGAGCTGTGAGGCAGTAGTGCTAACCACTGAGACACCGTACCAACATCAATCTGGTAATCCTCCTCTGAACCACCACTAACACATTCTCCCCTAAGTAAGGTGACCATTCTATTCCACATTTAATTCATTACGTTACATTAAATTGCACTCCTCTTGCTGTGGTGGGATTTGAACAGATTTCTCCAGAGCATTAGCCTGGACTCTGAGTTATTATTTTGATAACAGAGGCACTACTCCGTCATCTGTGGGGACTGCAAATCAGTGGGTCTAGCAGCATACATAGAGAGAGAGAGAAACATAAACAGGGTTTAAATCAGGAAAGGGGATTAATAGTTATGGGGAAAAGGCAGGAAAGTGGGGTTGGGGATGATCAAATCAGCCTTGATCTTATCAAATGGCAGAACAGACTCAATGGACTCAATGGCCTGCTTCTGCTCCTATGGTAAAACCGGGACTTTCAAAACCAATAAGGGCCTTTCTTCAGGAACGGTTCGGCTCTCTGAAGAGTCTAAAATGGAACAGAGTGGGTGGAGAGTAACAATATCATCATAGAATAGAATCACAGAATCCCTACAGTGTGGAAACAGGCCCTTTGGCCCAACCTTCAGAGCATCCCACACAGACCCATCCCCCTGAACACTATGGGTAATTTCCCATGGCCAATCCACCCTAACCTGAACATCTTTGGACTGTGGGAAGGAACTGGAGCACCCAGAGGAAACCCATGCAGACACAGACAGTCACCTGAGGGTGGGATTGAACT